TGTGGCCAAAGCAGCGCGCCTGGTGTTGGGATCGACTGGTATGTCTAGGGCGGCTCGGACTTCTTTCAAAGAAGACCTCCAGATTGCCGCTGTCAGCTCAGTTTCCCGGTCTTCACGAAACGGCAGGACAACGACCTGGAGGGATTTGCCCTCCGGCAGGTCCTGCAACAAAAGGCAGGCGGAAAGACGGCAGTGGAAAAGCTCAGCAGAGATCGTTCTTGGGGACTGTTGTGGCTGCTACATTGCTGAATGGCGATAGTTGCTGTGTACTATCTGCACATTATCACTTGGTCCTGCATGCCGGCATTGTCGGTGATGGCGTTGCCATCACAAACAAATCTCAGTTGAGATGTTCCACAGCCCAGCGAGGCATGCAGATGCTCTTTCAACTCGGCCAGACCTCCCCTCGGGGAGCCTAAGAGGCGATGAAACAATGTATCATCCAAGGTGGCGACAATGCTACCCGACATCGAGACAATGTGCCGCATTGCACAATTTTAGCTGGTCGACTGTTGCGCAGAAATATACTTCGGCCTTTTGCTGGATGCTGCCAACCACAAACAAGGACTATGGCCCATGGGCATTACGTGTTCGAGGAAACTCATCTGCCAGCCACACCGCAAACCCTAGTGCCCGGACCAACAAGCTAAACGGAGTGCCATCACTTTCCAAAGTCAGAGGAGCGCTGTTCTTCTTAATGCATGCTATCGTTGCTAGCATTGCCTGTTTCTTGCGAGTGAGTATATGCATTGAGCCTGCTAACTAAGTTCGTAATGTTTCCATCAATTGGAGGGCTTCGGGCGTGGTGTTGCTAGTCGCTCGGCAAGCTTGACCCAACTCATCGGCCTGTCAACCCCACAGCCTCCAACCTTGACACCGGCACCCCCCAGTGTTGAATCTTAATGGTGCAGTCATCCACTAACGGGTTCTTACATCAAGGATCCTGCTATTGAGGGTTTAGATCAAAGCCCGCAGCACAGTCCTGCAACTGCATCCTAAACCCTAAACCTCTAAGCCCTAAAGCCGCCAAAGAATCCTAGAGCCCTGGGCTGCCGCACTCCATGGTTAGAGCTTTCTCGAGCCCCTGGGCCGCCTCCAGGGCACTCAACTGGCATCGGATCCCTTCAAGGATACCAAAATATACTATAGTGTACTATAATGTACTATGATGTACTATAGTATGATCATTCAAGGGATTCCTTTACAAAACGGGCGACCCTGGGCGAACGCGTTTTGCGTGGTTTAGGGGCTTGCAACCAAATCCTGAATACGCGCAGAAGGAAAACTAATAAACCGACTCTAAAAGACTATGTAAAAGAACCAAAAACACAAAATAACCCAAAATACAAAAAACAACACAAATGACAAAAACAAAGAACCAACAACACCAACATTTCGGCACTCCTGGAATCTGGTGCCCGAATTTCCAAGAGCTCTGGATGTTTTTGCTTGGTTATGTATTTTGGGATTTTTGGTATTTTGGCTGCTTTTGGTCCTTTTGCTGTTTTAATGTTATTAACGTTATTTTTGGTAGTTTTGGTTCCCTTGTTTTTGGGCATGTTTGGTTCTATTGTCTATGTTTCCTACTGTGGAGTTGGCGGCAAGCCCTAAAGCCATCGAATATGCGCGTGCCCAGGGTCTGTGCAATCCACCAAGGGACAATGCACTTTCACGGAAATGACACGTCGATATGCATATGTATACATATGCGTACAGTAACTACTGTAGCTGCTATGCTATACTACTGTCACCACGGTAGGCTAGTCAGCAATTCTTGGATACAACACTCAGCTATTCATCAGACATACTGTATCTTTATTAAGTGTTTGCATATACAGAGATAAATACGAATGTGCGAGTACTTCCCGTATTATTCTTTAGAAACAAGAGATGAGTATTTAAAGTATTGACAGTCATATTTTCGGCATATAACTAGGGTATGAACTATTACAAGTACATAACCATAGTAAACCGCTTGAATACATATATATATATATATATCGAAAGAGAGAGAGACGAGAGAGAGAGAGAAAACTAATTCCAACAGGTTTATATATGTGAACAAATATGTCTGTGTGTGTGTTTGACATATATGTGGATATATGCATATACGCATATGTGGGTGTTTGCTCTTGGGATGCATGAGCATACATATATATATATTTTTTTTATAGGTATAATTTGAAGTGCAGTAATGGGGTGTCTACAAACTTGTATTCTGAATCGTAAATAGGCAGCTCTTCATGATGTATGTACTCATCGGGTTGTTTATCTTTGTATTGAAATACAAATTCGTCAAGGCTTCAATTACTACAAACCGACTCAAACAGATGTGAACGGAGTACCAGCAAAAGTTTCGAATTCTATTTTCTTGTATACAGATTTTACATAAACTCAAATCCTTATGACACCTAAGATTTAATGAAAGGACGCACATGTATACAACACATGGGCCAATGTACTCCAGGTCAACACGTATTATACTCTGATATTATCGCATAATTACATTGTCTTCCCTGCTATTTATACATGTGTTTATCTGTTTATCTTTTGCTTAGTTGACAGTCACACTATGTTTCGCATTCTCCTATTCATAGAGCCATAATTAGAACATATAACATTCATATACGCATCCCCTGTACATTCTGTTTACATTTGTGCGTGATCATGTACCAAGCGAAGATTAAGTAGGCGGAAAAATATTGTCGTGTTTGCGCACAGAGATATGGATAAATACTACACTGTCGGAAGACCTAAATATTTTATACAAGGAATAGGGAAATAGTGCCATATGTATATACATATACCGATACACAGGGCCAAAATTTGTTAATCAATATAAGGACCACTGAATACGAATTCCATATACTCACGCACACGCACAGATACATACATATATATACATATACACATATACACATATACACATACGTACATACATACATACATACATACATATGTACATACAAACTTACAAACATACATACATATAGAGACACACCTACGAAGCTTCATATATAGATATATACACATATATACACACAAAAAATCTAAAACAGAAACAACGGAAAATAACTATACTAGTGATCAAAGTGTGTGTATATATAATATAAATATATATATATATTTATTTATGTGACTGGACGGTGCAACAAAATTGTTCAACGTTCCCTTGCTTAGAGTCGGGAACATCCGCAACGGGTACGTTTGTTTGATAGCGGCTGATCCGCTTTTGAGGACCGTGTCTCTAGTCGCTAGAGCTCTAGACCGGACACATAATCATAACCAAGACCCTCATACGCTGTGAACTCACTTCATCGCAAAAGCTGCCGATTCATAGCTTAAGCATTCGTGCGAAGATGCATTTACACATTTACACATCACCAAACGTCAAGAAAGGTGCACGCCCACAGTCCCCCGGACTCTTCCTTTAAGGGTTCCTTTTAAGGGTTCCTTTAAATGGATCGCTTTAAGTTAAGGGTTTTAGAGAGCCTTCGGCTTCCTTTTTAAGGGTGCTAAAAACTGAACAGATCTAGATGCTACCAGAGTTCCTCTAGAGGTGGTTTTAAGCTTTCTTTAGGCGTTCCTTACAGGCTATGTACTTACCGGCTCTTGACACCGTCGCAAGCATATTCATAAGCCACTTCCTCCGGCAAGTACAAAAGCCATGTGTCTTTTGTTGCAGTGTAGGTTGTCATGGTGTACCAAAAAGGCATGTGCTCGGGCTGTGTATACACGGCTTGACAAACGAATCCAATATTTCATCGCTAGTATGAAGTCACTGTGGCATCGAAGTGGATGTGTTTAAGCATAGAGGCACTGTAGAGTTCGTAGGCATCTAGACTCGGCTCGCCTTTGGGATTCGGGGCTAAGGGCCTCTGATGGCCTCTGGGTGGTGAATGGTCATAGGTTCTGAAGTGTCTGATTATCACCGATCTGCCTGTTGGAAGGCACCAGCCACCATCCACACCTCAGACCGGTGCAGCAGGGGTTGCCATGGCAGCTGGCACAGCATGTACAAATAACAATAACAATAATAGAGTCATAATCATGATCATGACGGCAATGAAACTTTCATGCTAAGAACATTAATAACAACGTAGTCTTGCGGATACTCGATTTACTGGGTTCACCGTCATCATCACACTGCTCTCATCTCCAGGATCATCGTCCCCAACATCAACATGGCCACTGCTAGCAGGCAGCATGACTACCATCGTCATCATCAACATCATGTCAACAGCAGCAGCAGCAAGGACGGTAGCAGGAACAGCAACAGCAACGATAACAACGTCAACCACAACCGCAACCGCAACAACAACCATATGGTATTGCTCTGGTGTGATTACGGTACCATCGCGATAGAGACTACCACATGAAACGATCTGCACAAAACAGACATCACTATTCCACCCCCCCCCCCGCCTCCCCCCAAACCTCTGGACAAAAGAAGCAACAAGTAGGCAACAATAGGCGCAGTCTTCCCCCAACCCCCCTGCCTCGGCTGCAAAAACAACAACCAACAACCGAGAACCAAGAACCAAGAGCCATCAACAGCACCCCTGCCGCCGGCGAGGGCGACGAAAAAGGCCACGAAGGATGACAAGAACAACAAGAATAAATACTGGCAATCACTTGTCCTGGTAACAACAGCAAGAAGAACAAGAAGTTTGACACTGCCGCCACCACCACCACCACCACCGCCGCCACCACCAGCACGACCGCCAGCGCCACCACCAGAACAACAGCAGCAGCAACAGCCACAACCATAAAGACAACAACCGCCACCGCAGCTCCAGCCGCAGTCTCAATCACAACGACGACGGCAAGGACATACGACGACACTGACGGGGACGAGGAGGACGAGGGGGAGACGATGACGAAAGCCTTGTAAAGACACCGCACGACCATGCCCCCAACAAATGACGGCCCACAGCAACAGGGCCACAACGACGATTAAAAGTTACAGCAGCACACACGCTCTCGCAAATCACACATCTTCAGCATCGTGAAGACAACATCGTACAAACGGTCATAATCACACCTCTGGCTAACCATGCCGTCGTGCCCCGGAATCGACGGACTGAGCATGCGGCGACGGCCAGATTCGACCAAATCACAGGGTTGTCGGGATCGTACTCCAGACCTGCTCACTTCGTCCAGCTGGCTATACTTGGCATTGGGTGACACCGGAAAACTATCGGATATTCGTATAGCTTGCAAGCAAACGAATTCCGAAAGGTCGTCTGCCTCGTGCAAGGACCTCTTGCGCTTCCTGCAACTGGTTGAGCTGCGCGTAGGCGTAACCTGTGTTCATATCCGGTAACTATCATGATCAGCTTAGGCTTAGGTTCACGCGACTTCGGCGACACGGACAGTAAGAGATGGACAAATCATCCCTTTTCACTCAAAGTCTGCGCCTTACAGGGAGTTCTCAGATGTTGCTGTTACACTGGGAGCGAGGCCCAGAGCATTCTGTCCGTGCGGGACTGCAGCATTCCTGCATAATCTCCCGACGGACACGGTCCGACAATCGTTTATACCAGAATACATCAAGATATACACTTTAAGATAAACATACATATATCTGTAAATACAAGCAGATATAACATGTATATACATGTACGCAGGTGGATGGACAGATATACAGATACTGTATACTAATACACACGTAACGCAAACACTATATACCTCTGGAACAACATGTGTGTGTACGCATACACATGTATACATATATATATATACACACACACACCTTTATGTGTGTGCAGGTGTCAAGATCACAAGTCATGCTGCTTTTGCTTCAGGCAATCTACACTCAACCCATGTCCTAAAGCTCTACGATTTCGGCTTTGTGGTGCGGAGCCAGAGGCTTAATCATTCAGGATTTGATGGGTGTGTCTGCTGTTAAAAAAGGGGTCCCATTCAGGGAAGTCTGAGTTTATGAACAACACAACCCCGAAGCACTCTTGAGTTGCCAGTGAAGACATTGATGGTCAAACATCGATTTAGATGTGAAGTAAAATGCTGTAGTGCTTTTCCCAGACTTGTCTTCATCGGTAACATCCGTTCAATAGACTGGGACTAAGACTGGGTTGCTCCTCCAGCACTCCCGCAGACACTTATGAATTCATACTTCTCAGTCTATATGGCCTATAGATATGACTTAAGACCAACAGAAGTGAGTCTCCCGAGCTGCACCCTAGCAGGAGGGCTTGGCTCTTTTCCCAGCTCCTGGAGAGACCATACTCCAGCGGCTGGATAGCCTCTGGCGAACCCGCGGCAAAGTGTCTTTCGAGACAAAGGCTTGGCAGTTTCGGACTAAGGCTTAAGGGTTTCGTGTCTTATGTGTAACGACGTTTGCGGGCTTGGGGGTTTCGTCTTCTATTTGCGCTTGTAAGGACCATGCGTTGTGGAAGTCGCGACGCTCGGAGCAGCTCAGCCAGAGCTGAGTGGCTGAAGTGGGTCTATTCACTGAAAAACCTGTAAGACACCTACTGCACGAGATTCAGACTTGTTTCTGCATCCGATGCACTTTGAATGGAGCTCGGCAACTACGGCCTATGCCTGGGTCTTTGTGCCACGGGCTATCAGGTCGGCAGAGACGCCCAAAGCTGAGCGTCTGTTACTGCCGCCACTGGAAAGGCGTCTTGTCAAATGTGAACCAGGCTTGGAATGAAAACTGAGTTTCCATGTTCAGACCACAGAGATGCAAATTCCGTTACTGACTGCGGCCTGCATGGCAGAAGGAGCTCATCCTGCCCTGAAGCTTCACGTGGAGAAGCTGTTGTTTCTGAGCCGCCTCTTGGAACTTGCCCAAGGCAACCAGCGTAAAGCCGTAGTCCACATACAGCATCCAGAGATTAAACCTTTGGGCAGGGCAGGGATACCCAATTCCGAGACCACAAATCCTAAGACCGTTGCTGAAGCTTGTGCGTAGGAGGGATCCAGTATGGGCCTTTTGGTTTCGGGTTATTTCGTGTTGAGGTTTTGACTTACTTCATACCTCGAGATTAGATTCTCAGTGTCAGTGAGTCTGTTTGTATCTCCTTTCCACTACCCGCCGGTCACGAATCGTTCGTGCAAAGCAACCGGAAAATCTATGCCCACAAACCCAAACCCCGAGCCACTCTCAAAAACAACCGCCTGCTTCCGACTTGAGTTGCACTAGAACTTGGAGCCATGGCCGAGAGGGACTGCTGCTCAAAGCTGCAGAGCCCAGGATTTGGGATTGGGCTTTGGCATTTGACATCAAGGTTGGGGGTTCAGGGTTGCTTAGGATTCATGATTCCGGATTTCAGTGGACGTTGGGGTCAATCTCGCTTTAGGCGAATTGAAGTTGGATTTTGGGAATTTGGGGTTTACACGGGTTCTCAAGCATGTGGGGTTCAGCACCAGGCAGTGCTATGACCACCCAGGTTTTCCAGTTGAGAGTCGAGCGCCGATACCAAGCCAACCGGTGCTATCTCAGTGCCGGCAAGTTCAACACGAATCTTGGGCCCTCGCGCAGAGAATCCCACTCCGTGCCCACGCCTCGGCAAGCCCAGGCCCAGGCTTTGAGTCACGGAAGAGAGTCTGATGCACCCTCCCACTCTGTGATCGCCCCAATGTCGGAAGAAGGCGTCGGGAATCCTAGGCTGGCTGAGAGCCGCACAGAATCTTCTCGAAGCGCTCCAAAGCGAGATGGTAGCGGCCCGTTCTCGGCAAGCGCTGCCACTCTGACTGAGCTTCAAGCTACAGGGCATACTATGCTTCGGGACTTTACATGGTAAGAAACTGAGGGCAAAGGCTCGATGTAGACCTGCGCTATGCAGTGGTCTGTCAGCGCCTGGCACACTCCGGTTTGAATGGTGATTCATGCTCGTCTCTAGCAGAACCTTGTCGCTACTCTTCCAACATTGCATTGGGAAGACACAAGCTGGGGAGAAAACTGGGTCATGTTCTTGGTGATGCAGTGGACAGAGCCCCGAAGGATCTAGACTCGTCACTCTCTTAGCGTGCGCTTGGTGAGGCAACTGAATGAACCAGCTAGGCCGTTACTTGGCGTCTGTTTTAACCGGGCTGACATGGGCTGACTGCAGGCAAGCATTGGATCAAGTCTGCCAGATGAATCCAAGGCACGTTGTCATCCAGAATCATCAGCGAAGCATTGAACCTCTCGGCGACTCTCGGTGCTGGCTAGGGGTAGCCGGGGAGCATGTTCAGAACGGGAAAGAGACAGCTGACAGGGGTCCGGGCTCGCGCAGAGCTTCCTCGCTTCTTCCCTGCTGATGGAAGACCTAGGCTTCGCGCATGCTTGTCCACATCTCCACGCAGAAGGGAGTATAAACTTCCAGGTACCGGCATCTTTGTGCCAAACACAATCTTTGAAGATACCCTGTCCCCAACAGAAAGCTCGATTCAACAGTGCTACTTGCTGAAGCTCCCACCGTCCCGAGCTGGTGCCGGGTTTTCACGGATGTCGGCCAGGACAGAGCATCTGCCATGTACAGTGCCTGTCAGGAAAGTCGCGCCCCCCCCGCACTACTCCGTGCACCTCAAGTTTAAAGAGGCTATCATGTTTTGAAGGAAGGACTTCTGACCGGCAGTGCATACGAGCAGTAGATTGTATCCTGTCTTGTCTGTCGTCATCAGACAGCTCGAATAGACTCGCTAGACGGTAGAATGTCGTTTCAGCGACTGTATGAGCCAGCACGTGTGATTCCATCAGCCTCTGACGATCGCCACTGCCACACACGCTGTCCACAGCGCCAGACGTAGACAGCCCTTTCATGCACAAACAGGTTGAGGCTAGAAGGCTCTCTGGCGCACTGCGCAAGCTTGTAACGAGGAGCGTCGAATCGTTTAACAGCTCAGCTGGACTGGACTGGTCATATAGAAGGATCCACCAGATCTACTCCTGAAGACCCCAACCCCAACACTACCTGTGGCTCACTTTCATTTGCTTTAGCACGGCTGTCTGCATTGAGGGTTTAGGATTGTCAAGTAGCGGCCTAAGTCTTGAAACACATCAGCCAGCAGCCGTCTCGGGTCGCCGCAGCAGCGCAATGGCTAATCGCAAGGGCCTGAGATGCCGATCGCCAGTCACATTTAGCAGTATTGCGCTGTGCTCCTGCCAGTACTTGTTTTGACTGGTAGCAACCTTCAGTCGCATTTTCGCTCTGATGCCACCATTACTCTCACAGCTCGTCTTCATGTCAACATACAACAGTTCCTACCAGGGCAGCCCTGAATTCAGAATGTGCCGGCATGTCCAGAAAAGTGCCGGGATGGATCACGTGCTGGTCTCTATGTCGCTGAAAACAAAATGCCGTACACCGGATCATTGAACCCTGGGGCAAGGCTTGCCTGATCCAGATTGGCAGTGTCAGGGTGTCTTCAGAAATTCGAGGGACGAATTGTGGGAACTGACTCATCATGGGCCCCGAGCGGGCATCGCCCAAACCTACCCGAACCACTCATCTTGAAACGCGAGGTCTGCAACCAAGCATATCTTTGGTAAGGCAAAGGCCAGGAACGGCGGCGCCCCAGGTGCTGCCCCAGGGCCTCTTCTCAGCACATATTTACAAAAGGTGCCGGCTGAGGGCATGGAAAGCAAACTGAGCGAGGCGCCTTCAGTGTTTGTCATGCTCATTGCTGCTATGTTTGTTAGCCTTTTAGTAATTGAGGGTGTTCGTACTATAGGTCGTGTCATTATATCATGCTTTGTCCGTTTGCTATGTGCGGTTTCCACGATCACGCTCGTCCTGCATCACTCTCAAACTTTGCTGCTAACACTTCTTGTTGTCGTTCGCTGTTGGTTTTTGTGAGAAGATCGTGGTCCTTGTACTATGACTACCGTCAGCCCTATTGCTCACAACTGCACTTACAGTCGTTAGATGATACGATTCTCTAAGTCTTACAGAATCGTATCATCTCACGAGCATCGGATTTAAGTTGTTACTATGTGACCTATAGGTACTGGGCAGGCTGGGTTCAAGTGGCTCCTGAAACGCGGGCATGCGTAGACAAGGGCAACCACAGAAACAAACTCAAAGCCCATAATCCAATACCCTAAACCCAGAACCCCAAACCCCCAACACCTGGGACTTCCCATCAGATCAATCTACAGGGGATTACCTGGAGTTATCATGACCCTACAGGTACCACATTAAATATAGGTTGTGCATAAACCACTGCAAGGAACTAGATTCTGGTAGTTTAAATGATTAGGCCTGGCTGCTGCAAGGGTGGGAGTTTTAAGCATGCTCTGAATCTTTCTGAGGACAACAACAGGCTTCTGCAGGTTATAGGTGGATGCCTGAGCGTCTAATTAGATTGTCAAGTTCAGATGGAGCCTTTCACGTCAGGTCATAGTCTCGAGCTTTCTGCTTTCTGCGAGAGTCGAGCTTCTCCAGTAGGACGCTTGATGCATGGATACCACAGTGTGCAAGCCGACGATCCTCAAATAAATAGTCCGTGTTCCAATTATATAGCAGAAGACACCCTAAACCCTAACCCTAAAACACGAGCGCCAATATCCCTTGTAGACCCTAGTATAGGCCGTTGGAATTTGGGGGGACGTAAGAAGGCGGTAGAGTTCCCGACCTTTGGTTTAGGGTTTGGGGTTTAAGGTTTTCCATCAGTATTGCAAGGTTCAATGATCATATCCGTTAGATTCCGTGCCACTACTACTGCTACTACAACTATTGTTCTTACTATCACTCCTGATATGCGTTCTTTTATATTGTGTGTATATATATATATGTATATGTAGCATACAAACATACATACGTGCATACATACATACACCTATGCATACCTACATACATGTACATACATACGTACATACATACGTACATACATACATGCATACATACAGAGATACATACTGGGCGCTACCCAGTACATACGTATAGGCACGAAGCTGCGCAGCAAGCAAGGATCTTACGATATGAGAAAGGGAACTGGCTCAAAGTAGAGGCAGCAGACTTTTCACCGCCGAGGCTGATGTGAATGCCAGCAACAACACTGAGACCACGACCACAATCGGAATGCTGAATTCTGAAACCCTTCAATCGAGGACGTGGCTACATGAGCACCTCTGCTTATACACCCCAGGCCAAGCCCTTGTTACATGGAGAAACTGCACCCGTCTAATTCCATGACCCCACGAGTGCACAACATGTTTCTCTAAATAGCTAAAACTGAGGGACAAACTGGACGACTTGGGTCTAACTACGGTGACGACTTGCAACTACAGTGCAGGGATTTTGTTGCAGACAAACAGGCAGAGGCAGAGCAGACAGACAGCATAGCACATGACACCTCCCCCAGATTTTGGAATGCAGTCAGGCTCGGGATCATTCAGGCTCGATCTAAACACCAAACGTTGAGGCTCTACGATTGGACTGGGAGAAGCGCTGCAGCCACCATTGCAGCCCCGACGGTGCATGGATACAGCCTGGCGAGGGATCCTGGGGCTTGGGCAAATGGTATCCGTCTCGTTCTTTTGCGCTGCTTGTTGTGCCCGAATTACAGTCTTGAGGACTTCATGCTCGATCGCAGTCGACAGCAACGGGACGGCGCCCATGGTACAGGGCTTACATTACTTTGCAGTCTGCAGTTTGGACACAGAATGCTTTCGAAGATTGGCGAGCTCACCGCCTGAATGCTGCTTGCACTCTCATGCGTGCTTATGACCCTTTTGAAAAACGTCCGGCTGAAACGGCCGAATCAGACCGTCTGTCACAAGGCTTCCCGCAAAACACAATCATTTCTTCGGATCTTCGTGCTGAGGTCGTTGCAGCCGTTCGCCAATCGTCACGCCAACCTGCCACTAAAACTCACAAGCACGAAAGCGGACAGTTGCGCAGAAGTTACCCACACATACATGTAAGTTGTAAGTATATGTTGTATACACATATGCCATGAAAAACGGGAACCATGGATCAACAACAAGACCAACATACTTGCATAAGTGCGCTCTTTGTTGTAGGTGTGACTATCTATCTATCTATCTATCTATCTATCTCTATATATATATATATAAATATACATATATATATATATCCATAAATGCGCATATGGCTGTTGATCTAAATACCTTCAGCCCGGGCCCGGAATGATCTTCTTCGCGAAAAAGATTTGACTTGGGCAACACCATCCCGGAACTTTCGCGGAGGCACGTTTACATACCTTTGTAAGTTAGAATCCCGAAGTATAAGCCCCAAATGAATGTACTATATATTATATATACGGGTATGTTTACTTTCCTATCGAAATTCCTTGCTGCATACTTCCGACTGTTACACCTCCTCCTCCTCCTCCTCCTTCGATGCTGATGCTGCTCCTGCATCTGCTGCTGCTACAACAACTACTACTACTACTACTACTACTGCTACTACTACTACTACTACTACTGCTACTGCTACTACTACTCCTGCTGCTGCTGCTGCCGCCGCTGCTGCTGCTACGGCTGCGCCTGCTACTGTTACTGACACTGCTGCTGCTGCTGCTGCTGCTGCTGCTGCTGCCACTACTGCCGCCACTACTACTACCGCTACTACTGCACTTGCTACTTGCTACTGCTACTGCTACTGCTGCTGCTACTACTACTACTACTACTACTACTACTATGACGACACAACTACTGCAGCTGCAACACGGGAGGGCTCGCGGAGGATGTGTCTCTCTGCGATGATCCGAACTCAATACGTTACAGTTACACCATGTCACAGTGCAACTTCCTCGGTTCTCTCACTCCGTGCTGCTTGTTGCCTACCTGCTTCTTGTTTCTGCTACTTACGACGATCCACGACAACTTTGACCATCACGACGACCGTGACTGCTGCTGCTACGACTACGGCATAGTGACCACGGACCATGACAACAACCATTGCCAGCAGTGGCTCTGCTGCTAGCACAACGATCACGATTGCCAACCACTGCAACTTTCCTCATTATCAAGCTGCAGCTAGTAATTACAATGTTCTTGTGATGGTGCTATTGCTAATCTGCTGGCTCGCCAGTTCTGATAAAGGAAGTGCAAGTTGCACAAGCTCTGGGCGCAGAACCCCGCCTTGAAGAACAGATTGGAAGCGGGCACAAAGGGAATGACGATGACTTGCAAGCCCAACCTCAATATCGTGCGTGAGAAGTGAATCGCGGTGGCTTGGTCTTGTTCAGCTGCAGCCACGGCGACAAAACAACAACAGAATGGAAAAAACAGCGGTGGTCATGAACACAATGGGACAGTACTGCCCAGACCAAACAGATCCAAATGGCAGCTGCATTGCAAGCTTAAAGGTGCGATTTGCTGGACGATATTCTTGCGTCTCTCGCCATTCCGGGACCCCCAGCCCAGTCTGTACAGAGTACTCTCAGTTGCACATCGCAAGAGTGGCAGCCATAAGAAAAAGATGTTCCACTGCAGCCCTTAAAGAAAAGGAGCCTTAATCATTAGAGCAGTGCTTTGGATATATGAGAGTATTATAATCGTAAGAAC